GATCGTGTTGTATACAGCATTGTGTGATTGCCTGCAAAGACTCCTTTGTAAGACTTATCAAAATTTTACTTTGACTAATTGAGTAAATATTTCTGTAAGTCTTCAGTCTCCACTAAGCTGTCTGAGAATAGACGCTACATCTATGCATCTAGTTCATTGTTGGTTTTCGGTGCCAATTATAGGTGTTGGCATGTAGCAGGTGTGCAGTAAATTTTTGTTGAAGGGAAGAATGAATGAAGTAGGAATTGACCATTAAAGGTTTGCTAGTAAGCTATCAAATTTTATCTAGGTAATTGGATTTTTTACATTTTCCTCAAAATATATGTTCTTTCTTAAAAGTGTAATGATCAATATTCAATATTCTTGAAAAAGTTTAAGTATAATTTTTATAAATCAGTTATATTTCTTTTTAAGGAAACTTGCAGGGTATCTCTTGGTAATTCATGGATGTTCCTTTAATGTTCTCTCTCTATTTTCATTGTTATATTTTTCTAAAGCTAAGGCATTTTGAGTATCGATTGATTCTCTTAGCACTGTTAATGTTAATCTTTTCAAGGGGTTTAATGTTTTCTGATTTTAACAGTAGCATATATTCCTTATAGAACGTTTCGAAATACTGAATATCCTCAGTTAAAATTTGGTTTATTTCTTTACACACTTTTAAATATGTATCTGCACACACATGCACATTCACTTTTCCCCTCTATGAGATTGGATCCTGTTGTATATAGCATAGTGTATTTGCTTTATATTACAAGCTTTTTCTTATATTACAAAATATTGTCCTAAATGAGATGTGCTTTTTAATAGTTTCATGGTATTTCATTGTGTGAGTGTACCATCATTTTATTCAGCTGTTCCCTTATCTTAGCAGTGTTAAACCTGTTGGTATAATATGCAACAGTTGAGGTCCACGTAAAATATTTTAAGCTAATATAACACATACTTTTCAGTCAATGTACTTTATTACTAATGAATTAGATTTTAGTGGGAACATATTTATATTGCCAATGTATTAACTCAGTCTACCATAACAAAATACCATAGACCTTTTCACTGTGTCTCTTCTTATAAAGGCACTAATCCCATCATGAGGGCCCCACCCTCATGACCTTGTCCAAACTTAATTACCTCCCAAAGGCCCATCTCCACATACTATCATGTTGAGGGTTAGGGCTTCAATATATGAATTAGGTGATACAGGGGAGACACAATTCAGTCCATAGCAGCCAACAAAGAGAACTATTTCAGAAACTATTTGTTTTTACCTAAGTAGCATTTTTAAAACTAGAATCTAGAATTGTTCTCACTTTATCTATGGGAAAGATTATCTGAAAATCTTCATAGAAAAAATAAAAATTACTATTGCTTATTCATCATGGAATACATAGTTAAATTATGCATTATTGGCATGAAATGGAACTGTGAAATTGCATGAAATTGCTGAAATGATTGTACTATCCCATTCCATGAATGTTCATAGTTCTAGAAAAACTGCAAATGGCTCAGTCTTTTACAATAGTTGATGAAAAGAGACATTAGAGAGTTTCCTTTTTCTATGTGGAAAATAATAGCCAGTTTTGTGGATGATTATGATCACTTACTGAAGTTTCTTTTAAAATTTCTTTTAAAATTAGCCTCATTCTCTCCGTAAATAAATGATACAACTGATAAGGAAGGCTTACCATCTTATAGCCTTTATATTTTTAAAAAATCTTTATATAACATCATTTTTAAAAATGTCAATGGTAGGTTGATCTTATAACAATGATGTCTCTAGGGGAGAATTAATATGATCTCTATTCAATATTGAGAAACCTGAAGCTTGGAGAAATTATTTTACCTAAGGTCAAAAATCCAGTTTGGTTCCATTCAGCTACTTCAAATCCTATCTTCTATGTGTTCAAAGAACAGAACATTTATATTACCCCAAGAAATAGTAATCAGAGAAAGATACTAATAAATGGTTATCTTTTGTAATTATGTGGAAAAGTGAATAGTTAGAGAATACTACATGTACTTAAAGTCAACTTAGAAATTCATATATAGCATTCTCATTTAAAAATAATATAATTAAATAGTGATGTATTTCAAATGGTCATTTACAAGAGCACTATTAATTTGTTACTATGCTTGGCATTCTTTTGTTGTTCCTTTTTAAGTTTTTAGAAATTTATTGTAACATTGCTTTCCTGGAAGATGATAATATATGGTCAGTATGCTATTGTATATTTTTGATATAATATACTTTCAGAATCATGTAATTGGTTTTCTCAGTGTGCAAGTTGTTGTGGTAAGAAGCCTGGACTATTTAGTAGAGAGTAAACAAAACTAGTGCAGATTCAGATACTTTTTGTTTTTGGCTGCCGGTTTTGGCTGATTGAGATGGCTTGTCTATAGATTAGAACAGGAGTCGGTAATAAGGTCTTTAAAACAACTACTCAGCTCTCTTGCTGTCGTGGGAAAGCAGCTGTAGACAGTACATAAATGAACGGGCATAGCTGCGCTCCAATAAAACTTTATTTACAAAGACAAGCAGCAGCCATATTTGGCCTGCAGGCTGTGGTTAGCTGACCCCTGGATTAGAATTATAAAGTGAAGGACAGCTCCTCACCGTAACATTTGCCTATTATTTGTCAGATGTTTGTTTACTTTTCTTAAATTCTATTCTTTCTAACTTTGCTTTAATTTCTACCTCTGTCCCCTTTAATTTCACCTCTTTATTCACATTTTTGTGTGCTACGGTGCTTTTATATCTTATGCTATTTTTCTAGGCTCTCTAACATTCTCACACAGCCTTCCAACCTTGTTGACAAGACCTCCAAAATTTAATCGGTCTAACATTTACTGAGTTTCAGGAATGAGTGGTGTTAAGGACATGGAGGTACTGGGTATAAAGACAAGATAGACTCCCATGAATTTGGGTGGTCTTGGAAAACTTATCAAAGGAGGCAGAACTTGAGCTGACTCTTCAAAGAATGGAGGGAAATTAAATATTAGAAAAAAGAGGAGACTATTTGAACAAATTATTGATGAGGGGAAGCTCACACATTGCTTCCTTCCCGCCAAATCATCCCCAATTGTATGGAATCCCACTGTGGACAGGTCCTTTGCAAGAGCGTTTCCTGAGCAAAGTGCTAAAGATGTGACTTATTTTTCTCTGGGGATTCCATCTCTTTGGATTATCTCTTTTCCTCCGGTGCTTAGTAAGATAAAGATGAGATGCACTCAGACCTGCCGTGGGAAGGCCTGAGACCTGTGGCCTAGACCGGCTCTGCTCTAGGCACTCTGGCAAATGGACCTCTCTCCGGCTGCTTGGCATGTTTTTCCTTAGTGCCCTTCCAGTCTTTTCTGGCCACCCACATGGTAGGCAGGTATGATCCTAGGAGAAGAGAACAGGAAGCCACCCAGTTTTCTTGGGTTATAAGCTACCTTTAAACTTAAATGTGCAAATGAAAGGAATCCTCCATGGGAAATCTGTGTAGCTCAGTAGGGCCATAACTTGAGATTTGGGATTAGGGTTATTTTAAAAAAAGAGAGAGAGACTGTGAATAACATTTATTTCCCTTCTGTGCACATATTTTCCTTTGGACCTTGTGAGAGAAGGGATGGCTGTCTCAAGACAGTTGGGGTCCTGCCATCTCTGTCTTTTTTCCTTTGATATGATTACATCTCACAAATAGTTACAGCAGACCAAGCACATATATGGACAGGGGACTGGGTCTGGAACGCAAAGCCCTGTGTGGGGAGAGAAGCCCCTGCAGGCTCCTAGGCCTCCAATGTGTATTCTTCCTTCTGCAAGTGGGGCTGCAGGCTTAGCCGCGACAACCTAGATTTGGCAGTAGGATATGGAATTACCCGGATATCTCTGGATATGTGGAGAGCCAGGTAGTCTGTCTCAATTGCCTCAGGCTGCATAAACAAGTTCTCTACAAAAACGGCAACTTTTGCATCTTAATTGCAGTTTTCTAATGTTTGGGGCGGGAATTTATTTCTAAAGCCAAAATAAGATCACATTAAATGAGCAAAGTTCCAGGACACTGATTTTTAGCTTCTGGATTGTTGGATTGTATAGTGTTCACTTCTTTTTACTTCTGAAGAAAATGGGCGCATCTCTAAGCCTTAAGTAACAGTCATGAATATTGCACTGTTTGACCACAGTGGTGTGATGGAGGGTGTCAAGGAACATAAAAGAAGGGGAGTTTTACTATAAAAGGAATGGTTGTCAGGTGGAATTAAGGTTGGGGAATCTCAGTGGGATCATTAAAACTCAAGGACTAAAATGAAAATAAAGACTTGTCCCCAGGACACTCTGGGTCTAAGAATCCAGCCTGCTTGGAGGTAGGGGACAAATTAGGCAATGAGTAAAACTACAGCATTTGATGTGTGAGGAGAAAGTACTAACTGGATTTTGTAAGAAGACCATTAGGAACTTAGGAGAGAAGAGGATCAGCTTTACAGACAGACCACAGGGGAGTTAGAAAAGGAAATTTCTAAATTTAAAATAGACTGGACATTAAACAGATGAAAGAGGCCTTTGAGAAGACTTAGGGCCTAGAGCTTCCACGCATGCAAAGCCTCTCTTATCCCTTTGATACCAGTGTAGGGCGGACTGACTGTGAGGCTTTCCTCCTCATCCCCACCGCAGCCCCCAGTGAGCTAGACTGGACCATATGGAAGACTCCTTTCTTGTAGGCCAAGTGGCCTCCTCTGTCTCTTTCTTCCTATTTCATTTGTAGTAAAACATTCTTAATTCTGAATGCTTTAAAATCTTAATTAAAAAGTCTTCAAATGCAAATTTTGAGATTATGCTAAGGTACAAACTTGCTAAGTAAATCAATCTCTGAATACGAAAACAACACATGAAGTTTCAATATTTAATACTTACCATAGCCAGTATTATGTACATAGAAAACTGTCAATCCGAATGAAAGAATGACCTTCAAGTTGGAAAAGAGTATGGTGTACTGAATTCTTCTCCCTTCTTTAAAATCATGCAGGTAATCTATGCTTTGAACACTAAAAATGACGAGCATGAATCTGCAATTCAGGCCCTCAAAGATGCTCATGAAGAAGAAATCCAACAAATTCTTGCAGAAACAAGAGAAAAAATATTGCAGTATAAAAGCAAAGTAACAGAGGAGTTAGACCTCAAGAGAAAGATTCAAGTTTTGGAAGCGTCGTTAGAAGATCACATAAAAATGAAGCAGCAGGCTTTGACAGAATTTGAAGCTTATAAGCACAGAGTTGAGGACATGCAACTTTGTGCAGAAGCCCAGCATGTCCAACGCATAGTAACGATGTCGAGAGAGGTTGAAGAGATTAGAAGGAAATTTGAGGAAAGATTACGGAGTTTTGGACAACTCCAAGTACAGTTTGAAAAGGACAAAAGGTTGGCATTGGAAGATTTGCGAATTGCTCACAGACGGGAGATCCAAGAGCTGTTGAAGTCACAGCAGGATCACAGTGCCTCGGTCGACAAAGGGCAGGAGAAGGCGGAGGAGCTGCACCGAAGGGAGGTGGAGACCTTAAACAAAACGCTTGAGGAGCTGAGACTGGAGCGGAAGCAGCTCATTGAGGATTATGAAGGCAAGTTGAACAAAGCTCAGTGCTTTTATGAACATGAGCTGGATACTTTGAAAAGGTCGCAGCTTTTTACAGCGGAAAGCCTACAGGCTAGCAAAGACAAGGAAGCTGATCTTAGAAGAGAATTTCAGGGACAAGAAGCAATTTTACGAAAAACCATAGGAAAACTAAAGACCGAGTTACAGATGGTACAGGATGAAGCTGGAAGTCTTCATGACAAATGCCAGAAACTTCAGATAGCGCTTGTTACAGCAGAGAACAGTGTTCAGGTAAGTCAAGAAGGTTACTTTCAACACATGGGTGTTTTTTTCAGTTTTCTCTTTTTCTTTTCAGTTAGGTCACTTTAACTTTTTTTGTCCTCCATTTTGCTTTTTCCTACTTCGTAAGAAAATCAGTGAAGGGGTAGTTTTTACTACTCTAGTTATTATTTCCTACTAGAATTTCGGATATTAAAGCCCCCAAAAGATAACTTAAAATCTTGCTCACTGTTTATGAAAGGGTTTTATTTAAATAACATGTTAATATTTTCCATAGGTGGTTTGGGAGGGTTAAAATATCGGGCTTTGGGTTTAATTTTGTTTTTTCCTTTGCTTTCATTAATAATGTCTGCTTGTCAGTTGATATCCAGACAATGAACAAAAGATCGATTGCTTTATAAACCTGTGAATTAAATAGGGAAATGGCACAAGTTTGAAAACAAGTCCCTACAAGTTTTGTTTTATTGGCATAGAAAATTTCATAGCTGGGTTTTTAATATCTGTGCAGCATTTGAGTGGATTAGGAAGGATAAAATAGCCTTTCATGGCTGGGTCATATGTTTTAGGAAGGTAACGTAAGTTACAAGTGTCACCAAAACAGATTTGAAACTAGGTATTGTTAAGTGACTTTTGAATAAGAGAACGTTGATGCTTGTAATTTAAATGTATTATTTAGCTTAGCATCATTCTTGCATATTAATAATGGCTGTTTGATCTTTCTTAGGTTCTTCAAAAACAGCTTGATGATGCCAAGGAGGGCGAGATGGTCTTGTTAAGCAAGCACAAGGAAGTGGAGAGCGAGCTGGCAGCGGCCAGGGAGCAGTTACAACAGCAGGCTTCAGATCTCGTCCTCAAAGCAAGTATGTCTGACCACAGTTCTTGCTATATTCCTCAGCTAACACCAACGCTAAATGTTAACTTGACAAAATTTCTCTTTTCTTCTCATATTTTAAAATTATTTAGACTCTAATGTCAAAGGACGCTAATATCTTATCAGTTAATCATAAGATAAGCCAATGATAACTTATTTTTAGGAGCATAGTCTCATAGAAAATTTAAGAGTTATAGATAATATAGCACCAATAAATCATTCACTGCAAGAAGACCCAGTCACTCTTTCCAGGAGGCTTTGTCCTGTAAAGACGTGCATTTTAAAGTATGTAAATTAGTGGAAGTGTGTGTAAATTATAGCACCTCATTGCATTTGGCTTGTTTTTAAGGAACGTTTTACATTAAAAGCTCACCCTGACCTGGCTGACGAGCTCATTTCATAGCCCATACCAGAGTCGGTGGGAGACCCATGTCAGTTCTCAAGTTCCATTTTGCCTGAGTGCTTAGTGTGCCAGGTGAAGCCATTTGAACTAGTTCTTTGAGGGTGTCATCTGATTTGGTTGGCTCACCAGTGAATGCCAAATTACCTTTCCCCTAAAATAGTAGTTTTTTGCCTTTAGTGTGTATGAGAATCACCTGGAGGGCTTGTGCAACCACAGATGCTGGGCCCCAGCCCCAGAGCTTCTGATTCAGGAGGTCTGGGGGAGCTTCATTGCCAACTAGAGTTCCCAGGCGCTGCTGTTCCAGGGCGCTCTGAGAACCACTGCCCTGACGCACACTTTCTGAGACCTTGTTCTCACATTCACTTTTCATCTCTGTCTCCCCTCATTCCCACCCCCCCTCCTTTTTTGCTATTTTCATTTATTTTATTCTTTCATAACCTGCTGTCCTTATCTGTCTGTTACCCCACCTTTGTTCTTTATCAGGTCTCTTGTGTAAAACAAATACAGTTTCGACCAAACTGCTGCTTGCCATCTTTACTCCCTGCATACAGATTTCTTCTTCTTTATGTTAGAATTTGAAAGAAAAGAGATTAGAAAAGAACAAATTACTTATTTTTGCACCATATATTAGTCAGTGCATTCTCTCTTACTTTGTTTTACGCCCAGGACTTTTATCCAGACCCCTAAGGAGTTGCTTCTACTTCAACTTGTATAGCTTGCCATCTTTAAAAAAAAAACTAGAATGGTCCTGGGTTCAGGGAGCAACATCAGTGATGTGAAAATGGACTTCTTTCTAATTTAAATTATTCTACTTGGGTAAGGAGTATTCCCATGGTGAATGTTTCTGTTTTATACAGTGAGGAAACCGAAGAACTATTTGTACATGCAGACCATTTATTTTACTGAGGTGTTACGTACACTTGTGTCATTAAATATAAACTGTTTTAGACCACAGTGCAACAAATTTTAAATTGAAGTGGTTTTCTTTTCGGGGGGGTAGGTCACATTGGAATGCTTCAAGCAACTCAAATGACCCAGGAGGTGACAATTCAAGATCTAGAGTCAGAAAAATCAAGGGCCAATGAGAGATTATCTCAGCTTGAAGAAGAAAGAGCTTTTTTGCAAAGCAAAACTCAGAGTCTGGATGAAGAGCAGAAGCAGCAGATTCTGGAACTGGAGAAGGTGAAAAGCAGTGGAGGACCCCTTCCCCACCCCCACCAGGAGAGGAAAGGAAGAAAAGTGCAGTTTTCTTCTTTTTCGGGTTATATTTAGAGTGTTTATTCCTATTCCACAGTAACAGTCTATTTCTTAACTCTAATTTTTTGTTTTTATTTTGAGGAAAAAAGATATAAAGCCAGATTACCCCATAGTGTGTATATATATCTTCAAAATATTGTTGATAACAATTTATAATGTAAAAACTTAAGACATTTCAACTTATTTCAAGCCAGAAACTGAATAAACTTTTATTTCAATGGAATGTACATTTATAGCTACTCAGGTTTGTTTTTCTGTTGATGAAATGTATTATTGCATATACACCTAGGAAATTTCTATAAAACTGAAAAAGATGACAAGCATCAAGCTCTTAAAATTCATACACCAACATACTGAATTTCTAGATTGAACAAATAAGACATATCATTTGTAGAGTAATTGCTGAATATTCCAATTTTTCAGATATCTGCAATACCAAGTGGGAGTTGTGGGCACCCTTTCTCCTTCCCTCAACAACCAAGCTGGTTGAAAAATGTCTCTTCTCCTTGCCCCTTGCTCACCTCCCATTCGCTCCTTACCCAGGTGCATTCTGGGTTCTCTTACCACCACTCCACAGGATCGGCGTTTGCCTCAGCCGCCAGTGATGTCCTGGTTGCTGAGCTTGGTGGATCTTGTCTCCCTGTGGTACTTACTCCTCTCTGATTTACAACGTCTCTCTTTTGGTATTTCACGTTCTCTCCTGTTTTCGTCCTGTCTCCCCGGCCTCGCAGTCTTGTTTGTGAGTTTCCCTCCTCCACCTGTTCCCTCACCATTGATGTTCCCCAGTGTTTTCATCTCGTTGCACACACTCCTCCGGTCCAGTAACATCAGCTGTCACTTGTTCGGTAATAGCTCCCAAATCTGTCAGTCTAGGCCAGATCTTTTCCCTGAACTTGAGTCCTATGTATCTAACTCCCAGTAGATACCTCTTTCTCACAAGAATGTCTAATCAGCATGCCTAGAACTTTCTCTCCTCAAAAGTACTGTATTTCCATTACTCCTTTTTCAACCAGTAGCGCTACAGTCAATGGGAGTCCTTCTTGATTTCTGTTTCTTTATCCCCTTTATCTGTTACCAAGTGCTATTGGTTGTCTGCTCTGTTAATATATTTTTATTCCATCCCCTCCTCTCCATACCCCTTCACAGATCCTAGGTTTAGGAACCTGTCATTTTTTGCCTGGATTACAGTTACAACTCCCTAACTGCTCTCTTTGCCTTCGGTCCACTCACTACCCTACTGCCAAGATGATTGTTTTTAAAAATATGTCATTTACTTAAATTTCAGTGATTTCTCATTCCCATCAGGATAAAATCCAGACTCCTTAGCATAAAAACCCCTTCTCATCATTTGACTCCTGCCTACCTCTGAGCCTCATCCCTCACCACTCCCAACCTGTATCTTATGTTCTGTCCACACTGCTTAGCTGCATGGACTTCCTGTCTACCTAAACTTCGCCACTGGTTAACTACCTCTCATCCTTCAAAATGCTGGAAATAGTTATGAGTGCAGGCTTTTGACATCAGATCTAGGTTTGAAATGTTCTCATCTCTCATTTCTTGATGGACTTGTGAGAATTAAATGAGAGAATGTGTCAGCAGCAGCAGCTCAGATGTTTTCTCTTCTGGAAAGCCTTCTCTGAGCTCTCTCTCTCCCTCTCTTACACACACACACACACACACACACACCCCACATCCTTTCCCACCCCATCCAGGTTAGGCTCCTTTCCTGTATGCACTGCTTTCAAAGAACTTATAAAATTATATTGCCACTCTCTTTTGAGTTTTTTTCATCATTAGACTGTGTATGCTTAAAAAGTGTATAATTGGCACTCAGTAAAATTGTATGGAGTCATACCATTTGCAGGGGTAAACTGGTCAGCTGTTTTGTGTGTCCCTTTGATGTCCAGGAAGCTGTACTTCGTTAAGCTCGCAGATGCGCTCACACTTGGTTCTAATGTAATCATAGTCTATTTTATCACTTGCTTTAAGATTACTCATTTTGCCTGTGCCACCCTGTCATTTTCTGAGAATACCAATAATGTATTCTCGTGTTCCATAGTCTAAATCCCCTAGCACTCAGTTCATTTGAGTTTATGTATTTACTGAATATTCAAAATACTAATAGCAGTAATGGAAAACCAGGTGCCAATTATTGAACTTTATTTGTTTTAATTTTAGAAAGTAAGTGAAGCAAAGAAAGCTCAGCAAGAATATTATGAGATGGAGCTACAAAACCTGCAACATCGATGGGAAGGGGAGGTGGCTCAATTAAATGAGGCCCATTCTAAAACTTTGGAAGAATTAGCTTGGAAGCACCATATGGCAATTGAAGCTATCCACAGTAACGCAATTAGGGATAAGAAAAAACTGCAAATGGTGAGTAAAAATCCACTTAGCATTGCACTGTAAATTGGTTGGGTTTCTGTAATGATCCAGCGTGACCTATGTTGTGGAGTAATGACTTGCTTCATTTTCATGGCTGCTGTCTTGTAATCACCTTAAATCGTGGTTCAAAGAGTAACGTACATAGAAGTTCTTGATATGGGATGTAGTTTATTAAATTACACGAGCCATTTCTCCTCTCTGTAAGCCATAAAGGAAACACTGCCTTGATCTCGAGCCATCTCTTTGTGAGACAACAGCATAGGTGCGCCCGTCGGGAGGCCTCGCCTGGGTGAAGCACTTATTCTCCTGTAGACAGTTTCCTTCCCTGGGAAAATGATTTGTTTGTGGTGTTTTTTCCCTCTCAATTAAGTAATCAGCTTGCTAATAGTAATATGTGACAGACAGTATTGCATAGTAGAAACAGCAAAGCATCGGACAGATTTGGGCCCTGCCTTGAGCTCTTTGCTTGCTAGCTGCCTAATCTTCGGCCCCAAAAGCTATGCCTCACATTCCTCACGTGACTGACGAAGATAAGATCCATCTTGTAAAGTGCCTGTGAGGGTTAAGTGAAAGGAAGTGTTGAGAACCCAGACATGCCCTAGCATATAGTGATAAATAATTGTTAGTTATTAGTATTTCTTACTGTGTGCCAGACATTGCAGTGATGTTTCACATTTATTTTTTCATTTAATCCTTATAACACTGCTATTGGTTTGATTGTTATACCCATTTTACTGAAGACGAGATGGAAACACAGAGGGGTTAAACACTTGGTCAGGCACATGCAACTAGTAAGCATTGGTCAGGCCTTGAACTCAGGTCTCAGATTATCAAACCTCAAGGCGTCTAACCACCACATCATGTAGGCATGTATTAATGATGGCTGTTCTATGTTTTATATAATAGCACTTTACAGTTTACTAAAAATTTTTTTATATATTCCTTGTTACCTAAGATTGGGAGATTACTGTCATTTTTATTATATAGATGATGAAATAGGTTTAGTAAACCTAAAGGATTTACTCAGTCACAAACCTAGTAAATAGAAGAGGTAGGATGTGAATTGAGATCTTCTGCCTCTGTGCCCCTTCCTTTTGTGACACAACTAGTTGGAAAAAATATTCAATACCTAAACTTAATTAAAAATTCAAACAAAACTTCCTGTTAGAATGTTATTTCTGTCTAAACTTACTCTTGTATGTTTATGTAGCCAGAAACAGAACTTAATGACGTTATTTCTCAAAATTGTGGTTGTCGTTTTCTCTGTGCCTGCTGACTCTTCCAGGACCCATCTGTACAGCTTTAATTACGTGGTGCATGTGTGTGCTTACCAACTCTGGATGTCTGTATCGAGTGTTCCAGGCCTTATAGTAAAGTATTTAGTGGTAGCTGCTTCAGTAATCTCTTGAATAGCTATTTTTTGTTATATTTTTCATTTCTACATCCGTTTTTCACCTTAGCCTTCTCCTCTCTTATTGGAATATTTAAATTGCAGGTGTCCTGCCTTTTGCCTCTCTGTATTCCTCTATATAAAGCTCTAAGTGCTAGAATCAAGGCATCTTTCATCAGTACAATTTTTGCCTCATTACTTACCTCCCAGTCATCCCCTCACCCACTGAATTTCAGTTTCTGAGCCACCTAAAAATCTGCTTTAAGCCACTTACATTTCTTACAATCTTTCTTTAAAGCATAGTTGCCATTAGACAGATGATATGAATTTCCTGTATGTGAACATAGTCAGAACCTCTTATGATAGCCTTATCTGTACCCTTCTCTTCTCTCAAAAGAACTTGTTTGTCACTTGTTGCTTTTCCTTTCTTGCCTGGCTAGCTCATGTCTGAGCCTGAGCTAAAACCAGCCTCCTTCCAGAACAGTCTTTCTCCAATGTCAAATTATCTTTTAAAGAACATTTAGCTAAAAGTGACTTCTCCATTCCTTATTACTTAGTTATCAAAAAGGATTATATTTTCCTTTATAACTCAAGCTCACTCACTGCATTTGAAAGTGGATACACAGAGAATCCATGCAGAAAACAGTTAACATAGCAGGCCTGAAACTGCCTTCCTTAGCAAAGCATGGTGCAGAGTTGGCTCTTGACTCTTACCTGGGAACTTGAATGTCGGGAGGGTTCCCACCTTTCCGTGATAAGAATGACTCACTGTGCTAAACTGTTAATGTAAACAATATGGTTTTTGCTGAACATCTGCTTTCTTTCTTGGAGTCTGGAATTTTGGTACATTCTAGTCAGGGGGGTACCTGCATGACCAGCCCCCAATAAAAGACCTGTGCACTGTGTCTCTCATGAGCATTCCTAGTAGACAGCATTTCACATGTGCTGTCACAGCTTGCTGGAGAGTCCTGTGTCAGAGGACTCCTGGGAGCCCGAGCCTGGTTTCCTGCAGACTTGGCGCCTTTTCCCTTGGCTGATTGTGCCTTGTTTCCTTTGCTGTAATAAGTCATTGCTGTGAGCATGACTGTCTGCTGAGTCCTATGAGTCATCCCAGGAAATCATCACACCTGGAGTTTGTCCTGGGGACTCCCAACACAGAACCCTATTCATTACTCTTCTCACCTTACACCATATATAGAAATATTGAACTTCTTGTAACATGCCATGCTTTTTTGTACCGCCAGGTTTTTTTGCACATGCTTTTTCTTCTGCCTAGAATGTTGTATTTCCCTCTTGCTTCACCATCTTTTCTTACTGGTGCACTCCTTCAAACTATACCCAGGAATTGCTTCTCTGTGAAGGTTTCTCTACCAAGCTAGAACTACCAGTTCCCCGTCCGTCAACTCCTGTACTCCCCATGTGCATCAGATTTTAATCACAAATTCTTGAATTGCTTGATACCCTGAGCTTATTAAGGGCAGGCACCGTGTCTTATTGCCTTTGTATCCCAAGTACTAAGTAGCGTACCTGGGAAATAGTAGGTGTTCTTCACTAAGTATCAGTTTTACTGGTATTGCTCTTTAGATGCCTTAATTTTGTACTTGTTAATTCTTGACTGTGTTCTAGTGCTAGACCACTGAGTTCCAGAAGTTTACGGGATTTTGTTTTTTTATAGAATTCTGACTTAAGAGATAGTTAGAATTTTGCTTTATCTCACCAGATTATCATTGGTATCACACATTTCTGTGTTTTGACTACAGGTTGATCTAGACCAAATATTCTTACCACTTAAAAAAATTGTGTAACCACTACATCGTAAGTGATTCAGAATGATAGAATCTCAGCTGCTAGGATTAATTAGATTTGCTGTTAACACTGATATTATTAATTAAGGGTAAGTCTAATTTAAGAGCAAAGTATCAAAATATAAAACAGAATAGTCTTTTTCTTGGAGCCTTCAAAGTATACAATGTTTGCAATTTTGTTAATTTTTAAAAATTTCTTTTCCTTAGGAATTGGAGGAACAATCTGAAAAGGAGAAACTAAGCCTGGAAGAGGATAAAAATCAGCTTCAACAAGAATTAGAAAACCTGAAGGAAGAATTGGAAGACAAGCTGAATATAGCCAATCAAGAGGCAAGAATTCTTAAGCCTATCACCTATGTCATTTATGTCTTAATGATGACATCTGATTTGGTAACCTTGTATAAGTAGGTGAGCCTCAGTGAAGGTAACATATCTAGAGTAAAAATAATCAATAAACTTTCATTGATGCTGAATTTTTCATAATATGTTGGTTATATCTCACCAGGTAAACATTAACCACCAAAAACATCAGATCAAGGTGCTTTTGTGGGGAAAAGCAAAACCAAGGAGAAGATCACCATATAGGAAAGAAAACAAAAGAGATTTCTCTATCCTTTTGCAAAACATTAACTTAGTATTGTCTACACTGTATCTCCACTTAAGAAAGAGAGACTGGGGGCCGGCCCGGTGGCGTAGTGGTTAAGTTCACATGTTCTGCCTCAGCAGCCCAGGGTTCACAGGTTTGAATCCCAGGCGTGGACCTACACACCACTTATCAAGCCATGCTGTGACAGGCATCTCACATATAAAGTAGAGGAAGATGGGCATGGACATTAGCCCAGGGCCAATCTTCCTCAGCAAAAAGAGGAGGATTGGCAACAGATGTCAGCTCGGCTAATCTTCCTCACAAAAAAAACAAAGAGAGGCTGTACAGGTCCTAGATAGTGACATCTAAAATAATTTTAAAATTCTATATGAAAATAGTACTGTTTAGCCTGGAAAAGAAAAGACTAAGAATAGAATAGAAAAAAAGTGTCATAAATCAAAGAGTTGTGAATAAAATAAATGTAAAGACAATTTAAAAACCCTAATACTGTTTTTCCATCCCTTTCTCTCTTTTGCCCTGGTTCAGCTCTGCCCTAGAACAGCCTCCCCGCTGTCCTCTTTTCCTTCCAATCCTTCCATCCTTCCTGTGACTTGTAGAGTGATCTTCCTAAAACAGGCTCGTCTTGACACTTGTCATCTTGTCAGCTGTTCCTACCTCACTAGCGTCATCTTCCCCAACAGCCTCTAAGTCCTGCTCTCTCGTCACTCTGCTGCTCACAGAAACCACACCAAAACACATGAGTGCACCTGGGCAGGCTAACAATTTGCACTCAGTATTCAATTTCCATTATCTTTAAACTTTTATCCAGAGAAGGTATGATGCTCTACATTTGAGAATGATAGAGAATTAAGATTGTTATTGGTATTAGCTCAGCCTCTCTTCTGTTGTCCAAGATAATCTGTCCCTGGCTCCAAATTTGCACACCTCTCTCGGCAGAACACGATCCTTATAGTTACGGTGTCTTGCTCTCATTAGAGGGAAGTTTAGTGACCGTCTGTGTCTCACACCGCTCCCCTGGGGTTCTACTTTCAGTTCCGTATGGTTTAAGTATTCCTCCTACCTATGTGCTGTAATCTCACTGAGAAGAGTTCCAATAAATATGTAATTGATTTTCCTTCTGGATACATTCTCAGTTACGTTTTCGCACCCTGGTAATGTTTTGGTTCCACATCAGAATGGCTCCCCGGAATCTGCCTGGCTCATCCTCTGTATGCACCTGCCTTCCCCTCAGCCTGGGACATCTTTTTTCTTGTCCTGCTTTCTGGCTAGGCTCTCCAGAGATAATAAGCATTCTTGTTTTGGTTCCTGCTCTTAAAATGAAGGATGTCAACATATCACAGTTAATTATGATGCTTCCTAAAATTTTGTTTTGTAAGTGCTCTTTATCAGGTTTAGGAAATTCTCTTGTAATTCTAGTTTCCTAATTTTAAAAAAATCACAAATTGATGTTGATTTTTCTGTGTCTATTGAGATCATACTTTTTTTTCCTAAATTTGTTAATGTGGTACCTTATGTTAATCAATTTTCTAATATTAAATCAACCTTGGCTTTCTAGACTAAGTCCTAGTTAGTCGTGATAGGTTATATATATATATATATAAAATCTTTTTTATATAATACTAGATTCAGTTTGCTAATACTCATTTTAGGGTTTCTGAGCCTAGGTTTGTGTAAGATTGCTTTGTACTTTTCCTTTTTTATCCCATCCTTGTCTGATTTTGGAATCAAGGTTATACTAGCCTCATAAAGTGAAATAGGACTTATTTCCTTTTCTGTTCTCTGGAAGAGTTGTGTGAGAGTGAAATGCTTTTTTAACCTTAGAGTCATCATGGTTAGAACTTGTGGTTTGCATGAAAACAGTTTTTGAAACTTGTTCAGACTAGCGTTGTGACCTAGCGCATGAAAGAAATTTAATGTTCTGGGTGCATCCAGTTGTTTAATGTAATGTAGTCTGTATGCTTGCCCATTAAATCAAGATTTTAAGCTGTTTTGTTCAAATATTCTGTATTCTTTTTGACTTTTATCTTCTTCATCTATCAGTTACTAAAAACTGATACTATGATGGTTGATTTGCTTCTTCTTACATTCTGTCAATTTTATTTGGAGGCTTTGTTATGTTCTTATAGATATAAAACTGGTTTAGCTACTTAATGAATCATACTTTTTGGCTTAGTCTGTATTGTCTGACATTGTATATCCAGCTTTCTTTTAGTTTGATATGACTGGTATATCTTTTCCCATCCACTGACTTTCTGTTTTTCTGCATCTTTATGTTAATGTGTGCCTCTTGCCAACCACATATAGCTGCATTTTTAAAAATATCTAGTGTGAAGTTTTTGCCTTTTAAATAGAGAGTTTATTCTGTTTACATTTATTGGATGGAAAATAGATACGTCTATGGAAAAACAGGAAGAAAGAATTAGAGAATACTTCATAAAGACTGAAAATGATTGTTTTACAAAAAATTAAAGAATGTACTGTGTTTTAAAGTTGATGGATCTTGATACCCTTACAAGTGAGATAGCCTAAAAATATGAATAGGTCAACTGTAGATTTAGATGATAAATTCGTGAATGCCAGAATCATAATGGGATATTAAGGGAAGCTTGTGAGCCTAAGATCTCAGGTGGAGGGTAACCCTGTTATCCTATGAAATGTTATTTGGGCTCACCTTCAAAGATAAAATGCTAGGCTAAATGGTCAATATATCTGACTATTATGGTCTTTTTAAATGTTCTTGTAACATTTAAGTTGTAGATTTTCTTCTGGACATAAGCTTTTTAAGCATATATATAGTTCAGTATTTTGTTAAAATGAAAATCATTTGCATTTGTTTGTTACAAAATGTTATATCACAGTTTATGTACTGCCTGACACGTGGTAGGAGATTAGTAAATATTTGTGAATGGAGTATTTGTTGAATGATTAAAACTCATCATTGAAAATTAAATCAACTTCCTATAAATAAGAGTATTAGTTTTCTATTGCTGTGTAACAAATTACCACAGAACTTACTGGCTTAAAACAACACATGTTTATTATCTCACAGTTTTGTGGGTCAGGAGTCCAAGTATGGATCCTCTGCTCAGGATCTCACAAGACTGAAATCAAGGCGACGTCCGAGACATTGCAGCATCTCTAGGATTCTGTGTGAGATGCAGGGTCTTCTCTCAAGCCTACTGGTGTTGTCAGAATTCATTTCCTTGTGGGCTGTATGACTCAGGTCCTCACTTTTTTGCTAACTGTTGGCCAGAAACGGCTCTTAACTCCTAGAGCCCCCCAGAGCCAGAGCCTTTGCTACATGTCCGCATCCTCTCATAACATAGCAGTTTACTCTTTCAAGGCTCCCAGGTAAACTTCTGTGGCTTCTAATGTTTCTGACTTTTAAGGACTTATCTGATTAGGTCAGGCCCACCTAGAATAGTCTACCTTTTTATTACGTTAAAGTGAACTACTCAAGGATCTGTAAGATCTCTTTCGGTAAATAACGTAACACAATCATGGGAGTGCAATCTCATCGTATTCATAGGTTCCATGGAAAGTGAGGGTCGCACAGGGATTATTTTAGAATTCTGCCCACTACAGCAAGCAAACAACTCATTTCTCTGGCTCCTATAGTGGGTGTGTACCTACAGGAGGGTGGAAGTGCCTCACAATGTCAGAGTGATTAGGAGTCAGAATATGAGGCCTGAAAAGGTTAGGCAATAAAGAGTTCTCTGAGGACCTTTCTACAATTTCAGTATAAATGTAGGATAGAAGCTAGAGTTCACAGGTTTCATCTGAATCATAGTTGTTGACACTGCTCTTTTAAGACTATATGTAAATGGAAAAGGAGAGAAAAATGAAGTTAGATTCCTTCTTCAACCTCGTACCAAAAAACTTCCAGATGGGGCTAAGGATTGGAAAAAAAGTGACAAACCTTAGGACAAAGAAGGCCTTTTGAAACATGATGACAATGTCATGAATTAAAAGCACAAGATATTTGTACAGTTAAAGGTAAAATTTCTGTATATCAAAACACAATGTAAGTAAAATTATGAGAGAGGAGAAACTGAGAGGGGTGGAATAAATGGTTGGCAAATTGTATGAGTAACAAAAATTCATGTCTTTAACAACTTGAGTGTTTACAAAACAGTGAGAAATATACAGACACCCTAATTTTTTTTAATGGGCTGAAGAAGAACATGAAAAACAATTTTAACATCACTGTAACTTAAAAACTGGAAATTAAATCAATGAGATGCCATTTCCATTACCATAAAATTAATGATGATAAAAAATTAAGTGAGCCCATGCCGTGTTGATAAGGGTAAAGAAATAAGCACTCAAAAGCTGCTGATGGGAATATAGAACCATCTCATTTTCCTGGAAAGGAATTTAGCAGCAGGTATAAAAGCCTTAAAGATGGGCATGTCCTTTGACTCATACATTTCTCTGTATTTAACCTAAGCAAATAATTAAGGATTATTGACAGAATTTTGGTGCCGTTTATCGTAGAATAAATTTAGAAGTAACTTAAGTTGCCACAGAACACTATCTGCTTGAAGAAGGGGGGTCTTTTTCTAATTCACACAGAAGCGTTTTTTGTTCCTCTTTCCATGTTCTGGAGCTGCTTCCAGAGCTGTGGGGGGATTGCCTTTTTCTGCTTAGAAGTGTCACATGGCCTAGCAGCCGCCCTGGTACAATACGAGGTACCAGGCATTGAGGGTCCTTTTAGGAGTTAAATACCTACAGCTTGAGATGGTAAAGAGATTTTATTTATTCTTAATTGCTAGTAAGTATATGTGAACTTTTTCTGTTCTTAACTCATTCATTTATTCAATAAATGAATGTCTTTTGGCACCAAAAGCACTGTGTTAGGCACTGTGGGGACAGTGGTGGATAAGTCAGATATGGTCCCTACCAGCATGGAGAAACAGATACAGACACAAGTAATTACAAGTGTGACCCATACTGCAAAATGGTGGTAAACAATTAACAGGTTTGCCAGAAGAATAAACTGAGGAAAGCTTATGCAAAGGCCCTCAGGCATGAGAAGTTTCTAGGAATTGGAGGGATACCAGTATAGGTGGAATGTGATAGCAACAATAATAATAATTAATATTTATTTAGTTCTTACTGGGTCCCAGGCATTATTTTATATAGTCTCTCCTTCATACTGTTCAGTCCTTTCATTTTCACAATAACCCTATGCAGTAAATATTAGTTACTGAGTCACACAAAGTTTATGTATCTTGCCCAAGTCACTTAGTAAGTGGGTAACACCAGAATTTCAATCCAGGAGGTATGACTTCAGAACTCAGTTCTTCACCACAGTGCCACTCGTCTTCCCAATGAGTATAAAGACCAAGGAGGAGAGTTGCCGCGCTGAGGCTGGAGAGTTAGGCAGGGGCTCTGCCGTGGAGGCCTTGTAAACCGCATAAAAGATTTTGGATGTTATCCTGAGGGAAACAGGAAGCATTTGGAAGATTCTAAGTACAAATATGTGGATGCCTGGTTGGGGGCGGGATCTACACTCGTGTCCATGTTTGTAATTTACAAAAAATTGACTCTGGGGTTGCAAGGAGAATGGACTAGAGAAGAGCAAGCATGGATAGATATTCCAGAAAGGAGGTTTCTACTTAACGGTGTTCCCTCAATAATGCACGCTATCAACAAGAATCTGAGTTGATCTCTATTGCAAATGACAGAAATCCCAACTCAGACTGTCCTAAGGAAATTATTGCATCATGTGACTAAAAAGTCCAGGGTAATGTTCGCATCAGACCTGACCAGATTCAGAATTGAAATTGGTGACGCTGGAACTCAGTTTCTCTTTTTCTGTTGAGTTGGATTTGCTCTCTTTGTGTTGACTTCATGCTTTAGTTATACATTCCCTTAGTACATGTGCAACTGGAAAAGAAACTTTTTTAGGAACTCCTTAAGAAGCCCTGAGATCATTGTGAGTAGATAAGCTTAAACTGTGTGCGTGCCCTGATCCAGTTCCCACGGATGACAAAATGAGACGACCTTATTGGTTCACACTTCTATGAAGCGCTTCAGTCCTGAAGTTCGGGTTGAAGCCCTGGTGAGACCACGTGAACTGATAGGGAAGAAGGGGAGATTCCCCAGATGACTAAAGGAGATTTTGATATTGGCAGACAACAGATGTCTTACACATGTATACATTTTTATTATATTTTAGAAAACAAACTTTAATTGCTATGTTTATCACTTTTTTGCTTATTATATTTGTGCAGAATTTTAAAGTTTTTGCCTGTTAAAACGTATTCCTTCTGTTTCTAGAGTCTTAGTTTCTTGAACAGAGCCTTTCTTTTAATTCTTTATGTGGTAACTAGAATATCGTTCTAATTTTTTTCATGTATAGCATTTGTATGTGTAACTCTTATTCATCTGAAAATTTTCTGGATTGTGGAAGAAAATTCTCTATGTTGATAAATATGGTTATCCCTTTCTTATTGATTGGTACCTGATATTTGTATGTTCCTTTCTAGTTAAAGAATCTTTTCCCATATATCCTTGAAATTAATTATTATAATAACTCTGTGAGGTAGGTATTATTACTCCTATTTTATAGTGGCAGACCAGGAACCTAAAACTAGATTTTCTGCTAAGTTCAGTACTCTTTCAGCTCTGTTACAGCTGCTTTTGGTTACATTCATTCATTCATTCATCACTATAGTACACATTTATGGCAAGCCAGATCAACACAAAAAGTAGAGAAGATACAAGTAAGCAATATAGAATAGCGATAGGGGACATAAATACAGTGACAGAGAAAATTATAAACATTTTAAATGAATACTATATACAAATACACCAGTACATTTTAAAAATTAGAAAAAAGATATCTTCGTATGAAAATTTAAATTTCTAAAATGACTTGAAGTACTTGAAAAACCTGACCAAACCAATTATAACCATGAAAGAAATTAAACAGTCCAACATGTATCTAGAAATGCACTAGGCCCACGGGTTTTTAATGGATGAATTTTACTAAACTTTCAAGAAACTGATAAATCTTTTGCTATGAAAATATTTCTATGCACAGAAAAAATGGGGGGCTCCCGACTCATTTTGTAAGGTTAATTTAGCATCCCTTTAAAGATACTAACAAGATAAGTGCTACCATTATCAGACTTGATCAGCATATACCTGCATGGAGAGGGGACAGGAAGGTCCTGGTGGGGGCTGGGGGAGGATTGTGGGTCAGAGAGGGGGTTGGAGAATTTGCATAGTTTTCTTGGTGATGTCTGTATTTACAATGAGAAATATTCAGATTTTTTTTTTTTAATTTTTATTTATTTATTTTTTTCCCCCAAAGCCCCAGTAGATAGTTGTATGTCATAGTTGCACAGCCTTCTAGTTACTGTATGTGGGACGCGGCCTCAGCATGGCCAGAGAAGCAGTGCGTCGGCAGTGCGCACCCGGGATCCGAACCCGGGCCGCCAGCAGTGCAGCGCACGCACTTAACCGCTAAGCCACGGGGCCGGCCCCAGATATTATTTTTAAATTACCAGTTTTCATTTTGTAGAGTTTTGATAGGCTTGGCCATTTTATAAAAATGAGATTTGTACTTCATAGTGTTTTCCTAGATAATTTAAAGTATTTCATTTATAGATTTTAGTTCTCATAATTTGAGGATGTGGATCTGCTTAATCAACAAATTGTCTATTAGCTTCTAATTTCAAGAGTGTATAAATTTAACTCTTAACAATTTCATGAGACAAATTTTGTATGGAAACACAGAAATCGCAACTTTAATTTATGATGCATTTACCAGTTTATCAATATTGGCTGAAATTTATCACCTTTATAAATAGCAGGAGGACTGGGCTCAAATGACATATAAGTAATTCACTTTTAAAGAACAGTTTTAAAAATATTTTTACTTAAAAAATACATTTTTTCCTCGGTCTTTGATGTAATCTTTACCTTGCTTCAGTTCCTTTTTATAGGTATTTGATGATATGATAGAACTAGGAATTCTCTTTGTTAAATGGGGAGCTTGAGGTATATCTATTTATTTACATGGTTGTCATGAAAAAGGAAAATCATAAATATGGAGGTTTTTTTCAAAAAGCAACAGATGAAGGCTATCACGATTGAATGCTTCTTCCAAATTCATCAAGAAAGATCCATTCAGTAAAATTACAACTAAAGAAAAGACTTTAAGAAGAAAAACGTGACTGTTCGCTGGTCAGTTAACGAGGTGTGTTAAGTCCTCTACTTACTTACAGATTGGCCGCCTCCAGGATCTGGTGAGGAAGAGCGAACAAGGTCTTGGCTCTGCGGAAGGACTCATTGCCAGTCTTCAGGACTCCCAGGAAAGACTTCAGAATGAGCTTGACTTGACTAAAGGCAGGCTGAAGGAGACCAAGGATGCTCTCTTAAATGTTGAGGTAATTTCATAATTCTGCTACAATCTAAACAGCAGCAGGGTAAAAATATAATGTAGTCACTTTGCTTGGAGGTGATTGTAATCACCACATTGTGTATAATTAATGTATTATTTTCCTAGGGCTTCCATAACAAAATACTACAAAGTAGGTGGCTTAAAACACCAGGAATTTATTTTCTCACAGTTCTGAAGGCTGAAGGTCCAAGATCAAGGTGTTGTCAGGGCCATTCTCCCTCTTAAACCTCTGAGGATCCTTCCTGGCCTTTTCCAGCTCATGGTAGACCCCGGCATTCCTTGGCTTGTGGCAGCATAACTTCCCTCTCTCCCTCTGTCTTTACATGGCATCCTTTCTGTGTCTTCCCATCTTCTTATAAGGACACCAGTCACATTGGATTAAGGGCTCACTCTACTCCAGGATGACTTCCTCTTAACTAATCACAGCTGCTCTGACCCTATTTCCAAATAAGGTCACATTCTGAGGTACTAGGGGGTTGGGACTTCCACATATATTTTGAGGGACACAGTTCGGCCCATAACAATTAGTACGCACAATTCTTTTATTGGTAAGAGCTGCTCATATATGGCAACTAAGTGATTCTCTGAGACCTACAAATTTCAGAAAGGCTCTGTCTTTCCCTTTCCCTTCTCATGGAGCAGAGCAAATATTTCGACTGCCTTAGACAGTAGAGAAAAGAATCCGTAAAAACGGGAGTAGTAGCCAGGAGTTCTTACTCTTTCTTTCAGACAGGTGATTATAACGTGGGCTCTGAAGTCAGACTGGTTGGGTGTGCATTCTGGATCCACAACTTGCTGTATAACTATTCATTTGAACAATGCAGGAGGGGTGGGGGATAATAATACACTTTACACCACAATTGTAATAATTCAGTGAGATAAAACATTTCAGCACAGTGCTAGCAAAATAAATAAACACTCAGTATATGTTGCCTTTTATTTTTAATATTATTTTAAATTTTATTTTTTTAGCTTAGAATTGACATTTCAAAAGCATGTAAACAAGGGCACTTTAGTGGAGGTACCTTGTGTGTATGGTGCATATATAATGCCACTTATATTTTAGCTAAGATATAATTATATTCTCTCTCTCTCTATATATATACACCTTGAATACTAATTACATTGTTTTTAAATTCTGTAACAAAAGAAACAGATTATTTCATTCTCTTTGAATCTTCTTTTCCTTCTGTGTACCTGTCTCTAGTTGCTATGTGATATGACAATGTTAATATGTAACAAGGAATAGGTTGGAATTTAGAACTGGTATAATACACAACTTGATATATTTAATTTATGTGATGCCAAACACATCGACTATAATCTCAGTGTTAGCATTCTGTGGCATGAAGGTGAACTATATGACTAAACTGTATTAAGAGGTGCTTTTTCCATTGTCCAAAATAACAGGAAAATGATATTTTAAGGTAGAAAAATGTATTTAAAAATAAGCAGTTGAGGGCCGGGTTGGTGGCGCAAGCGGTTGAGTGCGCGCGCTCCGCTGCAGTGGCCCGGGGTTCGCCAGTTCAGATCCCGGGCGTGCACCAATGCACCACTTGTCGGGCCGTGCTGTGGCGGCATCCCATATGGAGTGGAGGAGGATGGGCACGGGTGTTGGCCCAGGGCTAGTCTTCCTCAGCAAAAAGAGGAGGATTGATAGATGTTAGCTTGGGGCTGATCTTCCTCACAAAAAACAAAAAAAACAGTTGAGATGTTTCTAGCGAATGTTGGTAGAATATAGGTGGTTGTGATATGGTGTCCTGGAGGGAGGGTCTGCATCCCTCACCGGGGTGCACACCCACCTCCTGCCTTCAGGTGTTTTATCCAGGTTGCTGCCACCCCACCCCATCCTGGCACTGAGAATTGGACTTATGGATTCAGTTTCATTTCTTCAAGATCCGTGCTCGTATTTACTTTGTTCTTCTGTCAAATAGCAGAACATAATAAAAATTTGAAGCCAAACCTTATAACTGTTCATTTTCTGTTCTGCTAGACAGTTTTAATTGAGAAAGTATGGGTACTGCGTCACAGTTTACCCCAACTTTGGGTAAGCTCCTTAAGAGCACGTGTTTTCTTTACGTTTTCCTGCCCCAATAATGTCTAATAAGGGGCTTGGCATTCAGTAAAAGAAGTACTTTTTAAGTAATTCTACTCCATTTAATGTTGCCTTTGGTGGAAAACGTAATTCCTAGTGGCAGAATACTTAGAGAAAAGGACAGTTGGCTAAGATGGTTGAATTCAGTTTTCGGTACTTACTGCCTAATGGCCGGGTCAGCCATGTAGGATGACAGTTTCAACACTGCCTTGCTTCTTCCCCACTAACCTGGATACGCCCCTCAGCAACTGCTACAGCACCTGCTGTTAGCAGGGGAGTGAGCCAGGAAGGTCACCGGGTGACAGAAGGATGGACCATCATCTGTTCCTCTTCTCTTGTACGCGCAGAGCTGCTGTGCTGCTGGCAGGGACCGATGGTTGTCAGTGCTGCCCAAACAGGTCACCTCTAGCCCCAGGTTCCATAGAGCCACTTGATTTATGCCAATTTACGGGGATTTCATATGTATCATATGATATTACTATAACAATAAACATATGGACCACTGCTTTGAAGTTACATAATACAAATAGACTAAATTTCTTATAATTATTTCAGTCATGTCAGTGGGGTACAGCTATACAGCTTAAGCTCTGAATAAATAGCATACTTTTAAATAAGAATATGAATGAAATTGCATAACATATCTGTCTATGTAATGTGTGTACCTGTGAAGATAATTGAATAATCAATATATTGTTAGATACCTGTGATATGGAAGGTTTAGTTAAGATGATTAATTATGCTGACTTCAAACTATATTTTATTAAGGCTTATAATTTTACAAATTATTTTAAATAGTTTAGACAAAGACATTTAAAATATAAAATGTGTTCCGTGTATTTTATGGTCAGAAAATCTCAAGCAATTGTCATTCCCAGCACTATTAATTATTGTGCTGTAAGAATTTAAACGTTAAAATGCAAGCATTCTACTTATTTGAAATAACCAGCAGTGACTTTGCTTTTGATGATTAGTCTTCATTGAAAAGTTTTTGTTCTTCAGGGTGAGCTAGAACAAGAAAGGCAACAGCATGAAGAAACACTTGCTGCCATGAAAGAAGAAGAGAAGCTCAGAGTGGACAGAATGGCCCACGACTTAGAAATAAAGTGGACTGAAAATCTTAGGTACGTTTTTCACTCTGTAGTGTAATCTTACCAATAGAGATATGCAACAAATGTTGTTCTGTTATATGGCTCATATTGTCTTATTATTAAAGCAGATTAGCAAAAGTTCATTAAATATAATGAATTTTTCCTGTGATTAGATGCAGAGAAATTAGAACTCTTTTAGTCTGCTTAAATATAGATTTACTTTTTTCTGATTTCGTTTCCTTGACTATAAAATAGGCCAAGTAGTAACCTGAAGTGAGAAGACTTATTTGTTCTAGTACCTATTCTGCCATTGATAAATTGATAAATCAGTGATCTTGGGTTAGTTACCAATTTACCTCATAGTCCTTAACTATAAAATAATCTACTCTTACTCTGAGTCACAGACTTTTGAGGAGGGTTAATTAAATACTTAGAACACCTGCCTAACGACAGGGATACGTTCTGAAAAATGCGTCATTAGGTGATTTCGTCATTGTGGGAACAGCATAGAGGGTACTTACACAAACCTAGATGGTATAGCCTACTACACATCTAGTCTCCATGGCACTAATCTTATGGGACCACTGTCGTTTATGTGTACCGTCGTTAACCAAAACATTGTTACATGGTGCGTGACTGTATTACAATTATTGAGAGGAATAATTCTCTTTACAAAGTAAATGCATTTGTTTTATTTTAGACAAGAGTGTTCTAAACTTCGTGAAGAGTTAAGACTTCAACATGAAGAGGATAAGAAGTCAGCAATGTCTCAACTTTTGCAGTTAAAAGAGCGAGAGAAAAATGCAGCCAGGGATTCATGGCAGAAGAAAGTGGAAGATCTCTTAAACCAGGTAATTACTAGTCTGTACTTTATGAAGGTTCATTTTCCTTGACATTTCTAGCTAGGGAAATATTGTGAAACACTGTATGTTAATTCACTGTATTTGGTATTTTTCATAGGGCAAACTTAAAATTTTAAAATGTATAAAATCAAGGAGACATATTTATAAACTTAGGAAACATTGTGCTAAATAATTATGTTACATATGCAGTCCTAAATACTGAGAAGAATTTACAGTTTTTTAGTTTAATATTTGAACTGAGCACATTAGAGGTTTTAAATGGAAATGTTACCTGTTTTTTGAAAGTATAAAATCTTTTTTCAAGCCATTAGATACCATTTGGGCAATGGAAGGTAAAATTTATTAAATGTATCATGATTGCCTAAAACCACTTATGAGAAATGAGCAATTTACTTCTTTTTCACCAATAGGATGTTACCTGTTATGCTTCAGAATGATATAAACGAAAGGGGGTGGTAGTCCTAATCTGTCTTCTTATGTCATGCTCCCTTATTTCCATAGCATTTATAACTATAATTAAAAGAATATGCACATTTTCACTCATTTACATAACTTCTAAATTTATGCATTCTCAGCATTCTCCTTCCAAGCCAGTAATTAAATAGGACTGACTGCGTGAGTCACCAGTTGATAAGTAAGCGCAGAACTCAGCTGAGAAGCAGCTCAGTAATTTAGTGCTAGGAATCCGCTGTTATCTTTCTTTTTGTGATCATGGTGAATTTCAAAATAAACAGGATAGGCTTTTTGTAAGATGATTTGTTACATAGGTACATACATGCAGTGACTTTTAAGAGTACTTGGGGCCTGCCAATTTGTGTCTGGTATTTCATAATTTATAATGTAACTCTGAAAGGGGAGTATACATACATGTATATATGAGTTTTTGTGAATAAATTTGAAACCTTTGAAACTCTGGCAAAAATAAGAACAAGGAAACAATGCTAACCATGTTAGCATTGCTTATTAGTTACCTTCTGTATACTTATTTCACATTCCTACTTAGGGACCTAGAATGACAGACTTGACTGGGTAGAGTGGTGCTACTCCTCTAGGATATTTTGTACTTAGGAAGATTTAATTAGGTCAATTATATGATAAAAATGAAAAACATCCCTAAAAGTCTGCTTTGTTTTTCAATAAGACAGTATTGAACATAGATAATTTTTGGCTAGATTCAGCAGTGTAAAGAGAGCCCACCACTTATCCCACTTATTTTCTATTAAATTATTTTATTCGTTATTCATTTAATCTCTCTTGTATTAAATTGTCAGATTTCATCCATGCTTCTCTGTTATTCTTTTCTTTCTTTTTTTGGATGTCTATTCTGCGTTGTTCATTCTTGAGAGAACGTAATGCTTTACATCTTGTAGTTCTATGTATTATAAAATAATTTATTACATATTGGGTCCAATTTCTGCCAGCTTTTTAATCAGTTTTCAAAGCAGTTTAACCATAAATATCAAGATAACTAGGAATTAACTGCCTCCAAAGGTAAAACTATCTATGATGCTTTGGGCCATCAGGCCATTTCCAAAATTACGATATCTTCCTTTCTCCCCGCTTCTAAGGCGTATAGAGCTTACACATTACTGTACATAAGCTGGCAAATGGCGGTTGCACTCCTAGATGATCTGTGCCCAAAGAAAGTTAAGAAAACTAAACAAGGGATTCCATATTAAAGTGAAAGTGGGTATTATGTTATCAAGGTTTCACTCTTTCCAGACATATGAGATGACAAGAAGTTATAGCAGGCCCAGCGGACTTTGTAATGGCACTTTGTCCTGGACACGGGACGCCTCCGTATTGGCCCTTTGGGTCTTGTTCTCTGGACTCTTTGGGATGGACTCCTAGAGCCTGTGCTCTGACGCCTGCACCACCACCCTCCACTTGCCTGACTCCTGCTGAGCCCAGTTCCTCGTGGCCTCTGCCCCCCGCCCTGACCCTACAACATTTCACACTCCTTACTGCTGCTGGCCTCGCGCATCCCCCGACCAGCACAGCCAGCCCCCTCCGCACTGGGGGAAAACAGACCTGGCTTGGGGTTTGTGATATTAAAGGAGTAAGAGCGGGGGATGGAATTGGAACAGCCAGGCTTTAGGCAGAAGCATATATTATGAAAAGTGTCAAAGGATCTGTGTTTTCACATATTTTAACTATTTCTGAGTGAACTGAACACGAGTCTATTTTTGTGCCTTAGCTCCCCTGTATTTCATCCTACTTAGAGCAAAGACAAAATAAAATTTGTCTTCATGTGAATTTAAACTCTTGTGAGTTAAATTTGCTTTAAACTAGCCCTCATGGCCTACCTATCAAAAAATGGGCATAGAAAATCATAAGAATTTTACTTTTCTTGAATCAGATGTTGTTCACCTTAAGAAATTTTCCAGGGGCTGGCCCCGTGGCTTAGCGGTTAAGTGCATGCGCTCCGCTACTGGTGGCCCGGGTTCGGATCCCGGGCGCGCACCGATGCACCGCTTCTCCGGCCATGCTGCGGCCGCATCCCACATACAGCAACTAGAAGGATGTGCAACTATGACATACAACTATCTACTGGGGCTTTGGGGGGAAAAAAAAAGGAGGAGGATTGGCAATAGGTGTTAGCTCAGAGCCGGTCTTCCTCAGCAAAAAGAGGAGGATTAGCATATTTTCATTATCTGCTCCAATCAGAGTCTGATTTCATACTTTTTAGTTTTCTTTGAATATCTTATTGTATTCTTTTATCTTTCCAATGATTACACTTTAGTCCAAGACTAATTATTCTTCCTGAGCTAATCAAATTCCTTTATAGCAAAAGAACTACCCTCTTATTCTTCAATTCTGTCTAAAGAAGAGTGATCATATGGAATCCTCTGTGATCATATTTTTTATTTGTGATCCTAAAATGCCATCATATATTCCTTTACTTCACCTTTTTCAAGGCACATTTTATTTTGGGTCCAATATGACTTCATATTCCAATGCCCTCATTCAGAGCAGTGGACTGAGAAGTTTGGGAGACACACAGATCATTCAGACATAGAACTGTGGAATTTTATAGTTTGGGTCTGACTCTCCATTTTGAACTTGGAGGCCCCAAGGACATGTAGCTGGTTATAGCCATGTGTATGACACAACTTTTACCCTCCACAAATTTACGATCTAATAGGAGGAAGATTTGTATACAGATGTCTACAATAAAAGTCAGTGTGTAGTAAGTGACTTTGTAAATGGTCTGGACAGTTGCACTGTAGGAGCAATGGTGTACTGGAACTGCCTCCTACCAGGTCACAACCGCTGATTGTGCGCATGTCTCCCCAACTGCATATTCAGGGACATCATGTTGGTGACTTGCAATCATCCATGGTGGGAGTCTTTACACCACAGATATCAGCAAATGCTACAAACCAGGGCTTTATTTTTCAGAGAGCTGTCAAACATTCACCAACATTCCACTGGTAGGAGTATGGAGTGGAGAAAGAGTAATATAGCCAGTGTGATTGGGAAAGATTTCATTGAAGAGGTCAGCTTTAGTGTGACTCTTGAATAGGGTGAAGGATGAACACAAATATTTTTATTCACTCAACAAACATTTTATTGAATATTCTCTTACTTCCCAGGCACTATGAGGAATACAGAAAAACAAGAGGTGGAGACAGTTGGGGAGAGAGGTCATTGTGAAAAACTTTGACTTCCAGGCTTAGGAGTTCAGAGTCTACTCAATAAGCTGTGAGATTCTGTCAAAGGGTTATGGATAAGGGAGTAACATGCTGATGGTTTTATTTTAAGAAGCTTAATATGGCTATGATACTGAAGTGACAATGAAATGGAGACATCTCAATATAAATATCTAAATTCAAATGTTAGAACACCTGAATACACACCACACACCCCTCCATCACCCCTCAACCTAAGCCAGACTGTTCCTCCCAGATGCTGCCACCAGTTTACTGCTCAGCTGTCTGACTCCTCTCTCTCTCACTGCACAGCCAGTCCATCAGCATTTCCTACTGCTCTCTTCAGAGTACATCCAGGATCTGCTCATTTCTCACCACTTCCTCCACTACCACCCTAGTCCACGCCACTTGCAGTTCTCTCCTGTACTGCAGCTGGAACCTACATTTGGTCTCCCTGCCTCTATTCATGCCCACCTACAAATTATTTTCCAACCAGCCAAAGTGATGTTCTTAAAATGTTAAGTTGGATCATGTTACTCTCCTGCTTCAGACCCTCCAGTGGCTTTCTATCACCTTTAGAATACAATCCACACTCTTATTGTGGTCTGCAGGAGCCTCATGATTTGGCCTCTGGGTGCATTGCCAACATAATCTCCTGCCACTCTCTCCCTTCTTTTTTTACAGTGATACTGGACTATTGGAGTTCCTGGAACACACACGCCAAGCTTAATCCATCTCAGGGCCTTTGCATCTGCCAATCTCTGCCCATGGAACCCACTCTCCCCAGATCTACATGGCTTGTTCCTTCACTTTGTTCAGTTCTCTGCTCAGATCTTAACTCTTCAAAAAAATCTTTCTTGACCACTTTCTCTAAATAGCACCCTCCATCACTCTCTGTCCCCTTATGCTGATTTGTGTTTCTTCAAAACATGTATTACTACATGGCATCACGTCGATTCTCTTCCCTATTAGAATGTAGTTCCATGAGAGCTGGATCTTTATCTGTGGTGTTCAGTGTTGCGTCCCCAGCAGTTTAAGTAGGCACTCAATAGTTGTTGAATAGAGTGAACAAAAAGTGAGGTGCAGCAACCAAAGAGGAAGTTGTCAAATATATGAAGTACAAATAATTCTGCCCAATTAGGACCTGAATTAAGTTTATTTCTCTGAGAATACAAGAGAAACCATAAAGGAACAAATCGTGTAATTTGATGGAATACTTTGGTAAAGGAGAAGGAAATGTTAACGTTGCCTCGGGATTTAAAGCCAGGATAATGAAAAGCAGATCATCATCTGAGACAGGAAAGTCACAGTGAGCCCCTTAATTGAGGGGGTGAG